AAACAGAATCAACATGCATAGATAATTGAAGTACTTATGTTATACTAAACATTTCTATGTCTAAAACAACCCTCAACATCATAAAATCCACCAAACAAGATAAGCTTATAAAGACCCTGTGCCAAGAAAGAGAAAATGATTAGAGATTACATGGTCTTTTAGAAGAGCAATGCTTACCAATCTATGTGGGGAGCTTTTAGTTGAAGCTGCTCCCACACAGTTGTGTTGAGATCCAGTCTCCATAAATCCTACAAGAGGTCTCTCCTATAAATAGAAATGGACTCACCTTTAGATATTGTATTGATAGAGATCACCATTAAAGTAAGTCTGGCATACCAAACACAAACATCAAATCACTATAGCAAATAAAAAAGGAGAAAAGACAATCACAAACTTGCCATACACGATCAGCTCAGTGTCTTTGATGCCTAAAACGCAAAGAAAAGAATTCTCAAAGAACGTGAGCTTCCAGATTGAAGATTTTTATCAAATTCTTATGCACGAAGCAATTGCATCATGGTGAAGGAGCTGCCACATTCTCATCTTTGCTCTTCCTAGAATTGAGCCTGAGAGCTTGCTTACCAATATCGTCGTCGCAACGCTCACTCACCTTTCCCATTTCCCGGTTAGAATTTATGTGCTAATGGAAATTGGGAATTCCTGAACAGTGTTCCGTGTCATTACAAGGATCGCAAAAACTGAGCCTCTGGCAAATGGGTTGCCATCATAAACTTTTCAGCGGAGATCTCCCTCATGAGAAATATATTTTTTTTAGCTGATCATGTATCTTTTAAGATCTCATAGAATCCGGCATCCGTACGACAGGTAATTATAGGCTCTAAACCTTCATGACCTAAAAAAAAAGGCTTCTAAAGGTGCGAGATTATCTTCTCTCCGGTAAGCAAGAAATATGGCTAGCATCATCCGTCGGAGTGTGCCGCCGTCGTCTCCGCCTCGTCGGGCGCCGCCTCCAGCTGCGCACAGGAGCGTGCATCCGCCTCGTCCGGGCGCGACGCCGCCCAAAACGAGAGCGCCACCACCAGGTAGGAGCATGCCGCCGCCCAAACCATCTCCAAGGAGGGCGAGAGGAGCTCCGCCACCTCACAGCAGCGCCCACGGTCAGGCACCTTCACCAGCACCAGCAGAGCAACACCATGGAGCAGCAAAGCAGCACAGCCACGGAGGAGCACCACCTCCAAAGCAGGACAGCCATGGAGCACCACCATCTCCACCAACAAGCCACGGAGCAGCAAAGCAGCACCAGCACAGTCCGCCACCTCCACCAACAGGCCACGGAGCAGCAAAGCAGCACCAGCACAGTCCACCACCTCCACCGCCAGGCCACGGAGCAGCAAAGCAGCACCAGCACAGTCCGCCACCTCCACCAGCAAGCCACGGAGCAGCAAAGCAGCACCATCACAGTCCGCCACCTCCACCACCAAGCCACGGAGCACCAAAGCAGCACCAGCACAGTCCGCCACCTCCACCAGCAGGCCACGAAGCAGCAAAGCAGCACCAGCACAGTCCGCCACCTCCACCAACAGGCCACGGAGCAGCAAAGCAGCACCAGCACAGTCCACCACCTCCACCGCCAGGCCACGGAGCAGCAAAGCAGCACCAGCACAGTCCGCCACCTCCACCAGCAAGCCACGGAGCAGCAAAGCAGCACCATCACAGTCCGCCACCTCCACCACCAAGCCACGGAGCACCAAAGCAGCACCAGCACAGTCCGCCACCTCCACCAGCAGGCCACGAAGCAGCAAAGCAGCACCAGCACAGTCCGCCACCTCCACCAACAAGCCATGGATCAAAGCAGCACAGCCACGGAGGAGGAGGAGCAAAGCAGCACCCACCTCCACCAGCAAAGCAGCATACAGGGCCGCCACCTTCTTCCGGGACAACCACTTGGCGACCAAGGAGGTTTGGGCCGCCGCCACCTCCACCAGCAAAGAAGCATACAGGGCCTGGGACAACCACTTGGTGGCCAAGGCCCGCTCATGACACGATAACATGGCAACCAGGGTCGCCTGTCTTTCACATGTTTTCATCGCCGCCTCCGCCTGGCCCCTTGTCTATTGCTCCGCCTCTGGGGTCGTCATCATCAACAGCAGCAGCAGCAGCGGCAGCATTTGCGACACCGGGGCTGCTTGCGGCAGGCATCGTTCTTTTCCTGCTTGCTATGGTGGCCATCGTCACCGGCATCTGGATACTCGTGAAGGGAAGAAGAAAGAAGGCGAATGACATCCTGGTGCGCTACGTCTGGAGCAGCCATCTTCCTGGCAGTGGCAGCAACAGCAGCAGTCAGCGAGAGTATCTCGTTCCCTTGAGCAAGATTGAGGACGCAGAGCTCCGGAACAAGCTCGACTCTTTCGTTCAAGAGAGGAGCAAGCAGCAGCGTCGACCGTCGCAGCTAAATGCCAGCACAAAGGTGGCCAGTCCTCCACTCGCGAGGCCTCCAAGCCGACTGCCACCTTCGGCTTTTCTCAAGATGAATCCAATCTATGGTGCTGCTACCGATTCGGTTGCCGACCGCCTGACACCGCCATTGGGACGAGATCCACCAGCAGCGATCCACGGAGTCGACGAGCACAAGAAGGTGCCAAGAGCTTCTCTTCCGGAGGATCCATTCTTGTCGAGTGCTGCTCGTCGGAGCGGCAATGATCGAAGAGCCCAGGAACAGGCTGTGGATCCAGTGTCTCGCCGTGGCACTGTGTTCGATCCTGGGGATGCTTTCGTTGCTCGGCTCGCGGCAGCAGCAGAGGAGCGACCTGAGATGGAGAAGCACATGCAAAGGATCATCGAGTTTGGGATGAGGAAGCCCCGCAACAAGCACTCCCACAGGTAAGTCTTCATGCTTGAGAGATAGAACAAGGGACTAAGGAGCACTTTTAGGATCCGTGAGGTGGAGAATCTGGAGAAGCCCGTGGTTGAGGCAAATCACTCGGCCAATTCTGGAAGTTCGCATTTGGCTGCTCGTGTACACGACTCAGATGCCAAGGTAAACAGTCTCCATGCCTCGGGTTGAAGTCTAACTTCTGTTTGAACTAGCCTTCCACCTCGGAGGTTAAGCTTGAGCTCGACGGAGCTTAAAGCGAAAGGAGGTACGCTTTTCGGTCGTTTTGGACTGATGATACGCTTGAGGTTGCAGGCACAGAATGAAGATTCATGAAACAAATTACTTCGGTTTTCTTAAACCGCAACAAGAAAAGGCAGGTCCATGGTAAATTATAACAGATGGAGAAGTCTGGAGACATTTGAATTAGGAGAAGGCAACGAGACAACTGCTCTTCATTAAGACAACAGAGAGACATTGAATTGGGAGATAATATTGCAAGTCTCAAACAAGGCAACGAGACAACTGCTCTTCATTAAGACAGCAGAGAGACATTAAATTAGGAAATTATGATTTGCAAATCTCAAACAAGGCAACGAGACAACAGCTCTTCATGAAGACAACAGAGAGACATAGAATTTTCTTGTTCCTGTTTTTAAAAAATTTAAACTTTCGAAACGATTTTACAACATTTCTTATCGTAAGTAGCGTGGACTGAGTAGTCAGCGTTAGTCCACACGTTCACATCGAAGCAGATCAAATGCTTATTAGAACAGGATTGAGTAGATTAGCTCACTTAGTCCAAACAGTCCACAACGAAAAGTAAACAGAGATCATTAGACCACACGCTCACAACGAAGGTAATAAATAGCAGATCAAATGACACGATCGAGTAGATTAGCTCAGTAGATGCGTTGACCTGTAGTCAACGTTAGTCCAAACAGTAAAAGTAAACAGAAATAGTAACGAGCTCATTAGAACAGTAATGAGATAGCGTTGACTGATAGTAGTCAGCGTTAGTCCACACGTTGACAACGAGCTTTACCACCCAAGAGTCATGGCGTGGTAATGAATGGATCAATCAATCCACCATGGATAATGGATTGGAGGGCTTGAAAGCGAGGCTAGTCTCCGCCACCTTCTCTGCGAAAGAGTGCCTCAAACAAGCCGGGAGCTGCGCGCTTAGCTTGCCGCCCCCCATCTTGAGCTTGCCACTGCTGCTACTCTTGCTCACTCCTTGCGGCTTGGCATTGCTCGCGGGAGCCTGGGCTTTCCCCGTTTCCAAGACGCTAGCCTCGCTAGCTTTTTTCCGCTTCTTCGCATCCACCATCGCCTTTTCTTTCTCGTTCTCTTCTTCCTCCGGTTCCAGAGTCGTCGCAACCTCGTCAAGCTCGTCCACCCTCTCCCTGTTCTTGACGTTGTCCTCGCCCTTGATCTTCTCCTCGACGTTGCTATCTTCGGGCTCCTTCAAGTGGAGAAGCTTGTGGCCGCCCGACCCCGTCCAGATGCCTATAGAGTCTTTGAGCAGCTCCAGGAAAGTTTCCAGCTTCTTGAAGCCACACCCCGCGTGATCCAGTGCGTAGCCGTAGTGCTGCTGGAAGTCCCCCTTGAGCCTCGCCAGAGGATAGCCGGACTTGCAGCTCGGGATGCTCTCGAGCAGCAAAGCTTTGCAGTCGGCTCTCATCTTGGCTGGGAAGTCGACAGCAGCACCCTTTGGTGATGGCTGCTGCCTCGCTGCTGCTGCTGCCTCCACAGGAGCCTGTGCCAGGCTTTCCCTCTCCCTCGAGGCCGTCGAGGAGGCTTTCTTTGTCGCGGAAGTGAGCACTATATCTCCCGACTGGAGATGCTCGAGCCTGACGATATCGGAGAACTGCTCTAACAACGTACTCGTACTAGAGAAGCCAAGCTCGCTGGCCTCGAGCTTCAGCTTACACTCGGCTTCGAATTCCTTGCAAACGGATGCCAGGTCGCAGACACCCCTCCTGCCGATGAACAACGGCAGCCAGCCTCTTAGCCTGTGCATGATATCGCTCGTCCCTGGCGCCTTGTCCTTGTCTTTCTCCTTCTCCTTCGTCTTGACTTGCGTTACCACAGTCGTCCCGGGGGGATAAAGCTTGCAGAGACCAGGCCTGGGATACGATATCTGGACCACGTCCGGGAACTTCTTCATGAGATCCAGCAACTTCGCATGGCCGAGAGCCTGGTGGTCGAGTGTCAAACCCCTCGCGGTCTTGAACTCCTGACGAACCAGCGATATGTCGTAGCCATCAACCGTGAGCACCGACGGCAGCCACGACTTGAGCTCCTTCACGACCGAAACCGGCGGCTCCTTGGCGATCTTGGCCGGGCTCTCGTAGTGCTGCTTTGCGACGCTCGCGACAGGAGCTACAACCTGGAGCTTGACTTCTGCCTGCTTCGTCACGTGTATAGCTGGTTCTTCCACGCATTTCTCTCGTTCTATCTGCGTCGGTCGACTTGGAGGCTCTGGAGGATGACGCTGGGCCCGGGCTGGTGGTGGTGGCCCTTCCAAAGTCACAGGAACAGGCTTGGCGAGCACGTCAAGCGTCGTTTCTTCCAGAACTTTGTTGACTACGTCAATGGCTGTCCTCTCGTAGTTCACCAGCTCTTCCGAGACCGCAGACTGATGCACCACATCCACTGCCTTCTCTTCGAGTACAGCAGTGCACGCAGGTCCTGCCATGGGGTTCCTGGAGATGGTGATCCCGAGAGGCGACCACGTTCGAGGATGTGGCTTTATCCATAGTCGAACGAGAATGGCTAACTGGATGACGTTGTAGATTTGTGCTAGACTCAAGTCCGTGAGCCTACCAACGCGATGTGCTCTAAGGATCAATGCTGCATCATACCTGAAAGTCATTGAGACGAGTAAGAAAACCACTTGTTCAGCAAGGAGCAAAGACTTACTGGTTCGCGGCATTGATGAAAACATGCACCCTTTCGCTGCAAAGATAGCTCCGGAAGTCGCTCCAGATATCAGCATCGTACTCCTGGCACAGATTTGGGTCGACGTAAGGCCACAAATCGTAGCCAGCCGGCAGAAAAATCTCCTCGGCGCCACCAACACCAGCGTTTTTAATCGCCAGCTCTCCCAGCTTCACGCCTTCTTCCAGCGCTCTCCGCAAGTTAAAGCCCAGCGCCTGCTTCTCCCCGTAGACAACGCAGTTGTAGATGTTGGCCTCGGTCGGGAGCATCATCTCGACCTTGAGCGTGTCCAGCACTCGCCTTATCAGCTCTCGACCGTAGTAGAAATCCTGCTCGCCACCAAAGTCCGGACCGCCAAACCACTGCGACCTCGCAGCTCCAAAACCCTCGGACGATCTCCCGGAGAAGCACTGCGGCGACGAAGGCCACTGGAGAAACAGCGGCCGGTTGATATCGTCCCTGGGAGCATACTGCTGCTGCAAAGGTGGCGGCTGCCGCATCTCGGCCATCATCTGGTGCCCCGGAGACCGGTAGCCTGGAACCATGAAAGGTGGCCGAGCTATCGGCCCGACGGCGTTCTCCATTCTACCACCACCATTGGGAGCGAGTGGCCTGGCACCGGGAGGAAGCCCGAAAGCCTTGACGTCCCTTGGAACTGATAAGTAGCTCACCTCGGCTCGAGCGAGGCGAGTCCAGTACCACACCGTCCGGGCCGAGTTGAGTAGCGACTCCGAGACGTGGACTCCCTCGGGCCGGACGAGAAGAACGTTGAATCGTTTCATCTGGAGCCTGTGGAGCAGCGGGGAGAAATCCTGGTCGCCGGAGATGAGCACCACATTCGCTGGAGGAGGATTGTCGCTCGTCCAAAATGCCATGTTCATCAGGATCGCCTTGTCGCTCGCTTCCTTCCTCCCTGGAAGGAGAGAAAAATTCGATCATCCAAAGTCCAGCTCAAAGGATGCATACTCTCTCGTGAGAAAGAAAAGCACACAATCGCAGCTCAAGGAAGAAAGAAGAGATCAAGCTCATCCCATGAGCCCTTTGCTCGAATGGAGCTCATAGAGAGATTCTCTGGCTCAAGCATCCTGGAAGTTCTTAGGTCCGAGAGAAATTTTGGAAGAATTCTCACTGCGAACTCACCCGATGGGATGTGATTGAGGGAGATTCCTGTGCTGGTGAGCGCGTTCTGGACGTGCCGGGTGAGCTGATACGTATCGCCGTAAGCCGAGATGGTGAGTGGGCCGAAGAAATTGAAGGCGTGGAGCACATTGCTGATGTTGCGCGCGATGTGGAAGGGATTCACATCCGCGGGCGGCCGGCAGTTCTCGATGTCCCACCACACCGATGTCTTGGCCACTGACGCCTCCATTCCTCCCAGATCGAGCTTACCGCGCGCACCAGCAACACACTAGCGGCCTCCAAGAACCCTAGAAATGCCCCAGGAACCCTAAAATTTCGGCGCCTTGGTATGGCCGGATCGAGCGATGGCGCCAGTCGCTGGATCGAGGCGAGCTCGCGTCTCAGCAGCAGCAGGCACAGTCTTGGATCGGCGAGGTGAGATCTAGCTTTTCTCTTGCGCTTTCTATGGTGGATGGATTTCTCGTTCCAGACAGGCGCCACAGCTTGCATTCTTCGTCCTGGGAAAGTTCTTGAGGCTGCTGTCAGTGTACGCGCTGTTCAAGTTCCTCTCGGCGAGAAATGGGACCGAATCGATCGTCGTCTTCACGTTTGTGTGCTCGCTCGCCTCTGGAGCACTCTTTTTGATCTTCCAGAGGCCTTGGCGTGGACGACCGCTCACAACTTCACAGGTTTGGGTCTCCACTTTCTTTCTTCCATTCTTTCTTCTTCTCTCGAGTCACTTCTTCGTGATGTGTGCTTTTTCTTCCAGGATTCTTTCTTTCTCTTTATCTCTCGAGTGACTTGTTTGTGATCCTTGCTTCGCAGATTTATCTAACAGCATTGAATGGGGGAGTTCTCGCTCTTGCGCTTCTTCTCTGGGGGAAGAGCTTACAAGCTTGCGGTCCAGTGAGGTTTCCCACTTTGCTTCTTCTTGTTCTTCCATGATCTTCCATGACGTTTTCTTCCAGGACAGTGCTGGCCGAGTACACAGGCGCGATGCTTGGAGCGGCATCGACGCTTGTTCTTGGCCGAGGCGGCCATAAGTGGAAGAAGGTGACAAGGTAACACCACTTCTTACAGCGATCTCACCTTAGAAATCTCTCCAGGGTGGTGGACTAGCGGCAATGCTGGTTGCGTTTTACGTTCTTTTCAGAGGATGGACGATTGCGTCCTTGTCCCCGTTCTATATCCTTTACACAATCGAAGCCATGGATGGGATCATAACTTAACTCCTTCGCACCGGCTGGGAGCAGCGACAGTGACGAACAAGGCCGTGTTGGACTGGGCCCGATAACCATGTCCATCGCCGCTGGTACCCTTTTCGCTCTACGAAGAATAGTAGCTCGGCGTGTTTCGATCAAGGCAAGCTTCTTTGCATGGAGTTTTGAGATGTGAAACTAATGCTACTCGTTCTTTTGCCCAGGCTACAATGAAGAAGCGGCTACATTCCATAACAGTCGCTGCCGCGACTTGCTTCCTTTTTCCATTCGCGATGCTTCAGCTGTCTTTGGGGGTCTGTATATGTCTCGTTTGATCTTTTCTTTTTCTATATCATCCAGATCAATTCTTCTTAGCAGGAAACCTCCCCGACTACCGAAGCTCACGGATCACCGGCATGGGCTTACATGAGCACCATAGTGTTTGGAATGGTAGCTGGCTTTTACGTGGACAATTACGCTGAAGAAAGGTAAGAAATTTTGAGATTCTCCTTGCTTCTAATCTCTTTAATCCAGGTTGCATATACTTGCAACGTCGTCGGAGCATCTTCTCGTCACATCCGTGTTGCTAATAGTTCTCGAGCTCGTTATTTACCAGATGGATTTCTCGCTCGTGGGATTCTTGATTTGCTCCTCGCTTCTGGGACTCGGTATGCTTTTGTCTCGAGGAAAACATACCATTCTCTAAATTCTTCTCCTTGATCTTTCTCAGGTATATATGAATCCACTTCCTCGGAAAAGCTACCATCCGAGATTGTATCAAGCACACCTCCAATGTGATCATAGCCAACGATTCTTTTCCATAGTTTCTCGTTAGCCACGTGGCATCTTGGTGGCATCCCCCTTGTTCTTTTTGAGAGAATGGAATGGCGATGGTGGGATTGGAGTGGAGAAGTGGGATCTCTCAACGCAAGCACAGCGATCGAGAATGGGATCTTCGCGAGCAATGCGTGGAGCTCATGGGGAGCTGCCGATCGGCATCACAGGCATCAGAGATTCACGGCCGAATCCAGCGCCTCTACGGCAGCCGCGACGTTTTCATGCAAAACAAGCTCATCGAGATGTATGGCAAATGCGGCAGCCTGGAGAACGCGCGCCAGATCTTCGACGCCATGCCCATGCACGATTCCTTCTCCTGGACGCTCATGCTCTGCGCGTACTCCCACAACGGCAAGCTCCACGACGCCCAGATCGTGTTCGACGCCACGCCCAGCGATCTCCACACGCTCGTCGCCTGGACTGCCATGATCGATGCGCTTGCCAAGAAGGGGCATCTGGCTCCCAGCAAGGAGCTCTTCGATCGCATGCCGCAGAGAAATCTCGTGTCCTGGAACTCGATGCTGGATGGATACACGCACAGCGGCCTCGCCACCCAAGCCAAGCAGCTGTTTGATCAAATGCCCGACAGGGATTTGCTCTCGTGGACTTCTCTCCTTGTTGCATATGCCCAAAGCGGGCATATGGACTCTGCAAAACGGACTTTTGATTCCATGCCCGGCCGGGATATCGTCGCTTGGAACACGATGCTGGTCTCGTTTTCACGCAACAATCAGCTCCAGAAAGCGGTATGGATCTTTGAGAAAATGCCGCAGTTTAATGTTGTGTCTTGGAACGCAATGGTTGCAGCATATGCTCAAAACGGGCATTTGGATCAAGCAAAACAGGTCATGGAAAAGATGCCTCAGCCCAACCTTGTGTCATGCAACACACTTCTTGCAGCGTTTTCGTCCAGCGGAAGGGTGACGGAGGCGAAAGAAGTGTTTAACAGCGTTCCGGAGCGAGACCTGGCGTCTTGGTCCTCGATGCTTACGGCATATACGCACAATGGGCGCCTTGAGGAGGCAAAGTGTCTCTTTGACGAGATGCCGAGCCGGAGCTTGGTATCGTGGACGAGCATGATGCTCGTCTACGGCCAGAATGGCCACCTGGACTACGCCAAATCAGTCTTTGACTCCATGCCCGAGCGCGATCTCGTCGCCTGGACGTCGATGCTTGCAGCGCTCGTTCACAATTCCCGATTCGATGACGCGCGGCTGCTCTTTGATTCCATGCCGCAGAAGGATCTCATCGCGTGGACGACGATGCTGCTGGGATACATCCAGGGTGGATTGATCTCCGAAGGAAAAGCGCTCTTTGACAGCATGCCAGAGAGAAATGCCACTGCTTGGAACTGTATGCTCGGAGTTTACGCTCAGAAGGGCCATCTCGCCAACGCCACCAAAATCTTCCAGGAAATTCCTCCTCAAGATCAAGGATTGATCTCCTGGAGTGCCATGCTCGCTGCTTACTGTCACCACGGCCATTTCGAGCAGGGCTTTGAAGCATTCCAGGCGATGAAAATGGTGGTGGAATCCCCAGACGAGGTGTGCTTTACTTTGCTCCTCGTCGCGTGTAGCAGCCAGGGAGAGGTTTACACGGGAAGGTGTGTTTTCACGTCAATGAGCGTGGATTATGGAGTGGTGGCCGGGAAGCAGCACTATGCTTGCATGGTGGACTTGCTGGGACGTTCCGGGCATCTGAGAAGCGCCCGAGAGCTCATTGGCAGCATGCCGTTCGTGGAGGATGTTGTGGACTGGGTTTCCTTGCTGGGATGCTGCAAGAGATACAACGATTTGGAGCTGGGAAGTGTTGCCGCAAGGAGAATTCTCGAGCTCGACACTAAGTACGGTGCTACCTATGTGCTTGTAGCTAGCATCTTCGTGACAAACATGACTATGGGATTCAAAAGCAATGAAACTATCATGATAAACATGGTGTGATTGGCAGAAATCACTGTCCACGAGTTTGCATCCGCCGCACGCTTTTGAAATTGGCGTTTGCCACCACCATGTGTAGGAGAACTCGAGGATCCCATACACCGAATCAAAGCGATCCATAGCTGTATGGCAATCCAAATGGGCTGCTTGTTGGAGAGCGAGTGCTTGAACTTGATGCTCCTGGTAGTCCGCTGACGTGAGGCTTGACTCCCATTGCCCAGTCGTACATCTCATATGTATCTTCTACTTTGTACCTCTCAGTGTTTGGATCCACGGCAATTTTTCCGTTTGGGAACCTGGGAAGACTTGGAAGGAAAATCCAGATCTTTTATATAATTGCAGCGTGGGCATCTATAATGTACCCAAGAACAAGTCCACAAGAGTGCGAAGATCCCAACTCGGTTCTCTTCAGTCAGGCTGATAGGAATGCCTCGAGCGTCCGAGCGGAGTGACCAGCTGAACTTGTACCCATAGCCCGCCAACTTCTTTGGAGTGGGAGTTGAACTACATGCATAAACGTGTTGGACGGAGTCTTGGGTCAGAAAACACAGCCAACGCTCCCTGTTGTACCGCTTCTCTCCACAGACTGCGGAAAACATCGTGGGCGTGTTCCATTGTTTGCATACATCTCTTCCTCGAATCAAAGTTTGGACAAGATCGTGCAAAGCACTTGTCTCCCGGGGAAGAGGCGGCTGCCATGAGTTCAAAAAGTATAGCACAGGCAATTTTCCGGAGGAAGAATAGTGAATTCAACATTGTTGACTTTTATTTGATTTTATTTGATTGAAGGATTCTACTTGGGTTCCCGCCATACTTCAGTTTGATAGTCAGTCTCCATCTGACAATGGCCAGCAGTAACCACACAATTTGGCTGATTTGGGCAGTAGTTGTTCCAAGAAAACAGAACCCACTTTCCAGTGGAATCAACCATCAGTAGATTTCCATCCATTTGGCTTGGCCTTCTCAAAAGTGTCACTTGCCCACACCACCTTGTTCACGTCTCTACGCAAATCATAGAGAACGAAGTTGCAATCTTGTTGCATAATTGCCCCGTACCTTCCATTAGGAGATACGAGCGTGCCATGCCTGCCAATGTATGAGCCCAAGGCAAAGTCGGCTCCTCCGATCATGTTGGATTGAGAAGGCCAGCAGTTTTTCCAGCAGTGGTAATGTCGAGGAGAGTGCGGTTAAAGTCACGAGAATGATCAAACACTGGCTCGTCTGGAAGGTCTTCTGTCAATTCAAGAGACGAAGAAGCCATGGTCTCTGACCTTCCATACCCAGATACATAGTCAATGGCAAACATCTTCCAGACGCAGAGAATTCGGCCATAGCCTTTGCTCT